TTCAACTTTCATGAGTATAAAATTCATCAGCGTGAAAAAAATATTTAAATGGGACATAAAAATACTGCACATCATATCCTACCTTATTAGATCGTTAAAATTTTTGGATGACAAAACTCAAGAAATCACGCTCCAAAAATCCTTCTCGCTGCTTCAAGAATTTATATTGTTTGAAATTGACTTCCGATTTTAAATTCCAATACCACAGGTATAAGTATCTATAAACCCTTTTTTTTAAGGTATAAAGTAATATTCCTTTTATACTGCATAAATATGGAGTCTGTAATTTACCTAATTTCAACACTCTTCTTTCTCTACAACTGTGTGCTTATACATATGTCTTCTTTTGATATACATCTATAAATATATACCACATGATCTAGTCTAACAAAGTGGGTGTGTAGTTGAGGATACGTGTAGTAGTAGGATAGGAGTATGGGTAAATTTAGGAAACAAACTTCTTGAAATAAAATAATTGATCAAATCTTGTCAACCAACTTTATCACTGAACAAGCAATACCTCTCCCACACGTGGCCAACAAATTGAAACTAGAATAAAAATACATTCTCTCTCTCTCTCTCTCTCTCTCTCTCTCTCTCTCTCTCTCTCTCTTCTTATATATATATATATATATATAATTGTAAAGCTATATCTTTCGACCTCGATGATTTGGGCTCCACTAATTCAAATTAATTTTTTCTCGAGCCTAACATGCATGATTAATTACGACCTATCCAACGAGCCCAATATTCATATACTTATTATCGCTCCAATAGTATGTACATTTTAAGTCAAATAAAATCGAAATTTACTTTATATATAATTTAGTCCCAAAACTTTCAAAACATTAAAATATAGTATACAAAAAAAAAATCAAATTCTAATCTACGAAATCTTGAGACATTACAATCTCCCCTCCTTAAAATATTTTCGTCCTCAAAAATTTACCTTAGCCAATCGAAGAGCTCTGGATACTTAGTTCTAAGCTCTTCTTCCTTCTCCCATGTTGACTCTTCTCGTCCATGATTTTGCCATTGTACTTTGATCAGGGGAACTTCTCTGTTTCTGAGTTGGTGTACTTTTCTTTCCAGAATCATCGTTGGGATTTCTTCATATGATAGATCTTTTTGTACCTCAAAAGTTTGGTAACTTACCACATGATTGGGATCATGAACATATTTTCTGAGCATCGAAACACAGAATACATTATGCACTGCTGCAAGTTCAGGTGGTAAGGCAAGTCGGCAAGCTACAACACCAATCCTTTCAAGAATCTCGAAAGATCCAATAAAACGTGGTCTCAACTTCCATTTCTTTCCAAATCTCAATACACCCTTCATTGGTGCTACCTTTAGAAAAACCTTGTCACCCACTTGAAATTCTAAATTCTTTCTTCTACTGTCAGCATAACTTTTCTGACGGTCTTGTGCTGCCTTTATTCTTGTTCTGATTTTATCAACCGCCTCAACTGTTCGTTCAATGATTTCAGGACCCAAAATTCTGTTCTCTGTGACCTCGTCCCAATGGATAGAGAATATGCACTTTCTACCATAAAGAGCTTCATATGGGGCCATACCTATAGTGCTTTGAAAACTATTGTTGTAAGCAAACTCTACTAAAGGTAGGTGTGTTTCCCAACTACCACCAAGATCCAGAACACATGCTCTCAACATATCTTCCAAAGTTTGAATAGTTCTTTTTGATTGTCCATCCGTCTGAGGATGATAAGCAGTGCTAAACTTCAGTTTCGTCCCCATGGCTGTCTGCAAACTTTTTCAAAATTTAGATGTGAACCTTGGGTCTCTATCTGAAACAATGGTGACTGGAATTCCATGCAATCTGACTATCTCTTTGATGTATAACCGTGCGAGCTGTTCCATGTTGAAGTTTACTTTGATGGGTAGAAAATGGGCTGACTTTGTTAGACGATCCACCACTACCCAAATAGCATTGTGACCTATGCTGACCTCGGGAGGCCTACCACAAAGTCCATCGTTATGTGTTCCCACTTCCATTCTGGAATATCCAACGGTTTCAGTAGCCCTGATGGCCTTTGATGTTCTGCCTTGACCTGTTGACAGATAATACATTTTTCAACGAATAGACCAATTCCTCTCTTCATGTTTCTCCACCAAAATGTATCTCGAAGATCTCGATACATTTTCGTACCACCAGGATGTGCCGAATACGGGGTAGAGTGAGCCTCTTCCAATATCTCATTTCTTATACTTTCATCTTTAGGGACACACAACCTTCCTTTAAAAGTCAATACTTTATCTGCAGATACCTTGAATTCTATACGCTCGTTTGTACCAATCTCAGCTTTAATCTTCTGTAAAAACAGATCCTTATCCTGTGCTTCTTTAATTCGATCCCGAAGAGTGGGTTGAATCATAAATGCTCTTATTCTTGCTGTCGTCTGAGTTGGCGGTGTGATAACTTCCAATCTTAGTTTCTCAAAGTCCCTTATCAAGTGTTCCTGCACCGTAGTTAAAACTGCTAACTGCCTTCCCGTCTTTCTGCTTAAGGCATCTGCAACTACATTAACCTTACCCGGATGGTAATGAATTGTGCAGTCATAATCTTTCACTAACTCCAACCATCTCCTCTGCCTCATATTCAGTTCCTTCTGTGTGAAAAAGTATTTAAGACTCTTGTGGTTTGTATAAATTTCACACTTCCCACCATAGAGATAATGATGCCATATCTTTAAGGCGTGAACTACTGCTGCAAGCTCCAAGTCGTGTGTTGGATATTTTTGTTCGTACTGCTTCAACTGTCTCGAGGCGTAAGCAACCACTTTTCCATGTTGCATCAGTACACAGCCTAAACCCCGTTTGGAGGCATCACTGTAAATCACAAATCCATCAGAGCCATCTGGTATCGTCAATACAGGAGCTGAAACTAGTCTCTGCTTGAGTTCTTGAAAACATTTCTCACATTTTTCTATCCACTGAAACTTCACCCCCTTTCCTGTCAGCTGAGTCATTGGCCCTGCTATTTTTGAGAAGCCTTCAATGAATCTTCTATAATAACAAGCCAATCCCAAGAAACTGCGAACTTCACCCACACTGCTCAGCCTTGTCCAATTTGTTAATGCTTCTACTTTTGTAGGATCTACTTCGATTCCTTGGGCGGTGACCACATGACCAAGGAAACCTACACGATCAAGCTAAAATTCACACTTCTTGAATTTGGCATATAATTTCTCATTCTTCAAGGTTTCAAGTACTACTTGGAGTTGTTCCTCATGCTATTTCTTGTCTTTGGAGTACACGAGTATGTCATCAATAAATACTATGACGAATTGGTCTAAGTATTGATGAAATGCTCTTTTCATGAGATCCATAAATACAGCTGGAGCATTGGTCAAACCAAAAGGCATGACAGTGAATTCATAGTGTCCATAATGAGTCCTGAAAGCAGTTTTTGGTATATCGCTTGCCCTGATTTTTAGTTGATGACACCCTGACCTCAAGTCGATCTTTGAAAACACTGTAGCACCCTTTAACTGGTCGAAAAAATCTTCTATTCTTGGCAGCGAGTACTTATTCTTTATGGTTAAATGGTTTAATTCCTGGTAGTCAATGCACATCCTCATACTTTCATCCTTCTTCTTCACAAAAAGTACAGGAGCTCCCTAAGGAGATACACTTGGTCGAATGAAACCTTTCTCCAACAACTCCTCTAATTGCAACTTCAATTCTTGAAGTTCTTTAGGTGCTATTCGGTATGGGGCCTTGGATACTGGTGCTGCTCCGGGAACTAAATCAATTGTAAATTCCACTTGCCTATCGTGTGGAATGCCTGGTAAATCTTCTGGAAATATATATGCAAAATCTCGCACAATGTTAATACCATTAACAGCCATTTCTGGATGTTGGGGACTGGTGACATTAACTAGAAATCCTTGAGATGACTCCTTTTTCAACGTCTTTTCCGCTTGAATAGCCGATACAAGACGAGGCAAAGACTTGAACTTTGCTCCGAAGAAACGAAATTCTTCCTCTCCCGGTATGTGAAACAATACTTCTTTCTCGTGACATCGAATGGTCGCGTGATTAAGCCCTAACCAATCCATTCCCAAGATAACGTCAAAATCTTTCATCTCCAAAAGGTATAAGTCTGCTTGTAATATTTTCCCATCAATCTCTAACTTTATAGCCTTAGTCATCTGATTTGTACAAAGAGTTCTTCCTAAAGGAATGCTAACCTCTAATTCACAATTCGTTTTCATACATGCAAAGTTTGACCTAGCGGCGAATGATGCAGAGATAAAAGAATTGGTTGCCCCTGAATTAAAAAATACATAAGCAAGTACATCAGATAATAACAGAATACATGTTTTTGTAATTATAATGTTAGACTAACAACCAAATGACATAGATAAAACAATGTATGGTCCTAGGTAAAAGAACATAAGCATGTATGTTGAAAATATTAATATTAAAATACCTGCTATTACATTCGGATCCTGCTCGGCCTCATGCTAATTCAGTGCAAAAACTCGAGCCTTTGCTTTCTTATTATTGTCTTGATCATCGTCCTTCTTCTTTGGAGGCTCTGTGTAGTTTAGAGCAATGGGTCTGGGCTTACCACACCGGAAACACATGTTCTTCCCAAGTAAACATTCACCCCTGTGGAGTTTATTACACTTAGGACAGGGTGTAATACTCCCACTCGTCCCACCAATACGAATTTCTGTGCTTGGCCTTTTATTTTGCCAGTTACGTCTATTCTTGTTCTAATCACTCCACTTTCTTTTTCCCAACGACTCCCTGCTCTGCTGGGCATACTGTCCAAATGTTGTCCTTTGATATGAAATAGCATGGGCTCTCTCCAACATCTCACGATATGATGTAAAACGATGGGACATAATGATCATTCCGATCTCTAGGCGCAGTCCATTTTCAAACCTCCTAATCTTCTTAACTTCAGTATCCACAAAATGCGGGGCATATCTTGAGAGCTGCTCAAATTGCCTTTCGTAATCAGTAAGCTACATGTCTCCTTGCCTGAGCTGCAGAAACTCTGATTCCTTGAAGTCTCTCAAAGCCTGTGGGAAATATTTTGCCATTACTTCATCCTTAAACTGCTCCCAAGTCAAATTACATTGCTGCTCTTCTGTCCTAGTGCGTAAGATAGATTCCCACCAGTGACTAGCTACTCCAACAAACAAAAATTCTGCGCATAGCACTTTCTGTGCATCCGTACAAGCGATGTGTCGGAAGATGCGCTCCAGACCTCTAATCCACTCCTCAACAGCCAGTGGGTCAGAACCACCATCGAAAGTCGGAAGCTTGTACCTACGAAACTGCTTAACCATTGAGACAGCTCCCAGGACAAATGGAGGTGCATTTTGTTGTGGCGGTGCATTCTGTTGTGGCGGTGCTTGGCTTTGTCTGCTAAGTTCTTGTACCACCCGTGAGTAGGTGATGCCATTTCCTAAAATTTAATTTGAAGTTACCAGTCACATTCTAGTACTAAGTCTAACAAGTTATACTTATTTTATCATATGCATATCATAAATTTAACGAAAAAATAATCTTAAAAATTTAAAGATATGCAATTTAAAATATTTAAATTATGCAAAATGTCTAAGTACCTTAGAGTCATTGGAGAGTGGTTGATTGGTGGTCGTTGAGTGCCAAAGATCATTCATATATTTAATTACTTTAAATTATCATTATTGTTAAATTCATAAATTTTCATAAAAATATTAACATTTAACAAATTGCACAATGAAACAATTAAACATTTTATTACACGTAACATTTAAAATGTGTAAAATTCAATGTTTATATATATACTAGCAAATGCAATAAGTTTGACTAAACTTTTCTTATTATCATAATAATTAATTTTTAAGCTTGAATTCTTTAATTCTTAAAAAGGAAAGTTGGGCCGGTTACAAGTTTAATGATGCATTATTGACTTAATTCAAATAATTACATCTACCTAATAGTCTTCTTATATCATGTCTATTAATGGATTAATTAAAACCGACTAAACTTTTGAAACCTTGCCTATGTTGACAAAAAAAAAAAAGGAAATCATTTGGGATTTTTGGAAAAGTTATTTGAAATATCACTAATCAAGGAATCTTTAAAACTTTCTGTAGTTGCAATTTCATCATTTAGTTCGGGTGACATAGCATGTTAGAATCCAAATAAGACGGTGATTGAAAATCAGTAATAATTAATTTCATTGCTAGAAAATTAAAAATTATAAACATGTCATTTAATCCTATTTTATCTTTTGAGGCATTAACATCTTTTGCTCTCACTCTACATTCCTATTTGGTCACAATTTTTTTTTTTTTTTATTAAAACATTACTCAATTAAACAACTAACAATTAAATATTCATTACACGCGGCATTTAGAACACATACTTACATACATATACATATTTATATGTATTTTTCATTTAAAATAATTTCCAAAATTTATTTTATTTTATTTCATTTACTTATTTATTTTCATTATTATTATTATTATTTATATATATATATATTATTTTTTTTACACTGTTCACGTGAACAGTTCACGTGAATCCAGAAATCATTTTAATTTTTTTTTTAAAACCAAATTATGAGAATACATGTGGGTCTACAGGAATTTAAACTTATGCTTTGATGCCAAATTGTAACGACCCAAAATTTAAAAATTTAGAATCGTTACTAAAACATTTATTTCATAATTAAATAAATTATGTCAAATAATCTTTGGAAAACATAATTAATTGAACCATGATTCAAATATTAAATTTCAGATTTAACATGATAAAACTGAAATAACGCAAAGAAAAATAAATAAATAGAACTTTCTAATCATGTTACTCAAAATTTATTTATCTTGAATTCCATGATTTCTGGCATTACAACTCCACCGCATCGCTCGCCAACTAATGACCCGTTCTAATCTGCGAGGAGTATGAAAAATGATGAGTACATGGAAATACTTAGTAGGATATAAAAATTTATAGTGCGATCCTGTATAAAAATTTTAAAACATGCATAAAAAAAATCATACTGTCTCATATCTTTAAAATTCGGTAAGAGCTCATATCATATTGTTGTACCGGAATGGCCATTATATTCACATCATAACATATCATATCATAACTTCAACTTTCATGAGTATAAAATTCATTAGCGTGAAAAAAATATTTAAATGGGACATAAAAACACTGCACCTCATATCCTACCTTATTAGATCGTTAAAATTTTTGGATGCAAAACCCAAGAAGTCACGCTCCAAAAATCCTTCTCGCTGCTTCAAGAATTTATATTGTTTGAAATTGACTTCCAATTTTACATTCCAATACCACAGGTATAAGTATCTATAAACCCTTTTTTTAAGGTATAAAGTAATATTCCTTTTACACTGCATAAATATGGAGTCTGTAATTTACCTGATTTCAACACTCTTCTTTCTCTACAACCGTGTGCTTATACATATGTCTTCTTTTGATACACATCTATAAATATATCCCACATGATCTAATTTAACAAAGTGGGTGTGTAGTTGAGGATACGTGTAGTAGTAGGATAGGAGTATGGATAAATTTAGGAAACAAACTTTTTGAAATAAAATAATTGATCAAATCTTATCAACCAACTTTATCACCAAACAAACAATACCTCTACAACACGTGGCCAACAAATTGAAACTAGAATAAATAAAGTTTCTCTCTCTCTCTCTCTCTCTCTCTCTCTCTCTCTATATATATATATATATATATATATATAAAATAATTGATCAAGTCAACCAACTTTATCACTAAACAAGCAATACATCTATCACACGTGGCCAACAAATTGAAATTAGAATAAATAAAGTTTCTCTCTCTCTCTCTCTCTCTCTCTCTCTCTCTCTCTCTTCCTCTTCTTATATATATATATATATATATATTCAATCCTAACCTACCCAAGATTCTTCCTCCCTTTCACATGACTTGAGAGAAATTAAATTCATTAAATAATCAATTAAAATATAATTGTAAAGCTCTATCTTTCGACCACGATAATTTGGACTCCACTAATCCAAATTAACTTTTTCTCGAGCCTAACATGCATGATTAATTACGACCTATCCAACGAGTCCAATATTCATATACTTATTATCGCTCCAATAGTATGTACATTTTAAGCCAAATAAAATCGAAATTTACTTTATATATAATTTAGTCCCAAAACTTTCAGAACATTAAAATATAGTATACAAAAAAAAAATCAAATACTAATTTACAAAATTTTGGGACATTACATGGATTTCCTATAACATATACCCACTTTATCTATTGAAATCGGATTCTAAATCCACCTTATACATCAAGCATAAAATCGTAGATAATCACACCAATAGATAATTGAAATTCAAATTGAAATTTAACAATTAGGTTAATTTCACGATAGATAAAACATGATTAAATCTATGCGAAATATAGTAAAAGTTAAATCAATCTCACAACAGTGCTTGAAATTGAAATTCAATACATGCTTTAATTATTCGATGAAAAGAACATGATTAAATCCATGAAAATCTAGTATATATTAAACCAATCTCAAAACATATTTATAAGAATAAGAAATCCAAATCTTGAATTGTTTAGCAATGGAAATCATATTACAAGCATGAGAAACGTTGAAATAATCGATACCAATCGAGTTCTTCCCTTACTTCACCAAGGATTTCTAGCCTTCCATGGAGTTTCTTGACCCAAGATGAGAGAAAATTGATGTGGAGAGGAAGAATGGCGTTCTGGGTCAAGATTAGGGCTTAAAAACGTGTGCCAAACAAGTTTCCATAAGTGTCCGCGTTAAAATAGGAATCTGGGATTTCACCCTCGAAAAATACCCATGCGGCTGCATGCTTATAAGCCATGCGACCGCATAGTTCAACCAAAATGGCCCCAAAGTTCTCGGAAGGCATCCATGTGACCGCATGGTTGTCACCATTTCCTCAGTCGGATAGTTTTCAGTATTTTGATCATAACTTTCTCTGCCAATGTCCGATTGAGGTGATTCAAGTTGCATTGGAAAGCTAACACAAAGGGCTACAACTTTATTTCAGAAATTATCTTCCAATTCAATCATCTTCATGCCAAAAAGGAATCCCAATATGAGGCTGAAAACTGGTGCGTAACTTTTTTGATTGGGAATTGATTTATGAAGATGTTATGATCATATTTTACTTCCTTTGACTTCTAATTACACCCAATTGACTCCTAAATTTCTTGAATCATCATTCCATCGCCCATCTCATTATAGATTATTTGCAACTTGGTCCTTGAACTTTCACTTTCTTCCACTTTAGCCCTTTTTACTCATTTATTCCAAATTTCACATTTCCCATCAAATTGCGACCTAGATCAAAATATAAGAGTAATGAGTGTAATTTAACGTTAAATAGCATATGAATACGACAATTAAAAGGGAGAAATATCATATTTTACACTCTTATCATGAGAATCCTCTCAAAATGGATTTAACATTATCTTTTAAAAGAAAATTGGATCTTGCACAATCTGATGGTACTCAATTGCTCATAGCGCAACTTGCACAGATGAAGGGTTGATGAAACACATAATTCCGATCAAATAGGAAACTGGAACTGTAAAGAGTTCATTGTCCCCAGATAGTAAAATGGATAACGAAAAAGTTGACATGCCATTAACAAAATTAGAGTGCTAATAATCTGATACAATTAATGGGGTGCCTATGCAATCTAAAGGGGAAAGAATTGTAGGAAATAGAAGTGTACTTAAGAGGAGGAAATGATTTTCTATTCAATTGTGGACTTGTCTTCAACTCAAGATTATATAAGTATTTTTATGACTTCCTATCACATAAGTTCATCCCCTCAAATTAATTCTACTACATGCACCACACTTTAGTAGGTACACATTAATTAACAATACATGCATTCATGAACCACATTTAACTAGGTACATATTAAATAATAATACATGTATTTCAAACTCCTAAATTCATGAAACTAAATTAAATAGGTTAAATGCATGTTTATTTTTCTAACACCCCCTCCCCCAAACATGAATTTTGCATACTCCAAGCAAACTTTTTAATTCCTTGAAATTATTGAACTTGAGAGCTTTGGTGAGAATATCTCCAATTTGTTCTTGAGACTTCACAAAATTAATCTCCACTACCTTGTTTGCAATGCATTCATGCACAAAGTGATATTTGGCATCTATATGCTTGCTACGTTCATGAAACAACGGATTCTTTGCTAAAAGCAATGGCTGATTTGTCATCCACGTTTATTTCAGTAGGCTCTTTTTGTGCAAAATGAAGCTCACTCAGCAAATACCTTAGCCAAACTGCTTGTGTAAAACAAGAACTGACAGCAACATAGTTAGCTTCACAAGTTGACAGAATAACAATTGGTTGCTTCTTTGAGCTCCAAGTAAAAGCCGTGTTACCCATGTAAAATACAAATCCACTGGTACTCTTTCGATCATCAGTGTCGTCACGCCAATCACTATCAATGAAACCTCTAAATCTGAAAACATTAGAGGCATAATAATGTAATCCGAAATCAAGAGTACTTTTGATGAAAAGTAAAATTCTCTTCGCAGCTTTCAAATGTGTTGTCCCTGGAGCTTCCATATAACGACTAACCAGTCCTACTCCAAATAATATATCCGACCTTGTACAAGTTAAATATCTCAGGCTTCCAACTAAGCTTCGGAACAAGGTTGGATCCACCTTTGCACCATCATCATATCTAGAAAGTTTGATGTTGCATTCTACTGGAGTGTTAACTGGATTACAATTACTCATGTTGAATTTCTGTAGAACTTCTTTTGCACAATTTTCTTGTACGATGAAAATGCCTTCCTCCGTCTGCTTCACTTCTATCCCAAGATAATAGGACATAAGTCCTAAATCTGTCATCTCAAATTCACAGCACATTTTTCTCTTGAATTCTTCAAACGTCTTTGGATTGTTGCTTGTAAAAATTAGATCATCGACATACAGACAAACAATCAGAACTTCATTGGCATTCACCTTAATGTAGAGAACATGCTCATAAGGACACTTGGTAAAGCCATTCTCCTGAAAATATTTATCAATTCTACAATTCCAAGCTCTTGGTGCTTGTTTTAGGCCGTTAAGAGCTTTATTTGATTTCAACACTTTGTCCTCATTTCTTTTCCTACAAAGCCGGGGGGTTGTTGCACATAGACCTCCTCTTCAAGATAGCCATTGAGAAAATCTGACTTGACATCCATTTGGAAAAATCTTCCACTTGTTTTAAGCAGCCAAAGAAATTATCAGTCATATGGTCTCTAACCGAGCTACTGGAGTGAAAACTTCTTCATAATCGATGCCTTGACACTGTTTGTATCCTTTCACCACGAGTCTTGCTTTGTATCTTTCCACCTCTCCTTTTGAATTTTTCTTATTTTTGTACACTCATTTAACTCCGATGGCAGCATGTCCCCTGGGAAGAGTTGTTAATTCCCAAGTATTGTTTTTCTCAATTGCTCTGATTTCTTCATTCATGACTTTTCTCCATTTTTTATCCTCAGCAGTTTCATTAAAACATATGGGCTCAATATTTGCAAACAGATAGAAGAAAGTAATATCATCAATTCTCTCGATTTCTCGATATATATCATCAAACATCCTTGTATGCAAAGGCCTTTCACTTGAACTTCCTTCAGAGACATCAATTTCACCACGTGATGGTGATGTTGGAGGAGTGGTGGTCTCATGTCTTTCTTCATTGTCATTTTCTTCCTCCAAGAAAGGAAGAAAGTCATAGTTATCTTCTTGAACATGCCAATTTCATGTTGCTTCCTCATCAAAATCCACATCTCCACTAATAAACATCCTCCCATCACTTGGATTATAGAGCTTGTAGCCTTTTGTTCTTGAATCATAGCCAACGAACACACATTTTTTACTCTTGTCATCAAGCTTCGAGCGCTTCTCATCAAGAACATGGGTATATGCAACGCATCCAAATACCTTCAAATGAGATACTGCTGGTTTTCTCCCATTCCATGCTTCAAGTAGAGTCTTGTGGGCTAAAGCCTTTGTGGCATATCAGTTCAACAAGTAGACAGCACAATTGACAACTTCTGCCCAAAATTCTTTTGGCATTTTCTTTGTCTTCATCATGCTCTTTGCCATATTGAGAATTGTTCGATTCTTTCGTTCAACAACACTGTTCTGCTGTGGAGATCTTGGAGCGATTAGGAATCGACGAATTTCATTGGCATCATAGAAGTCTTGAAAATTTCTGGAAGTGAATTCGCCTCCTCTATTTGATCTCACAGCCTGGATTTTAAATCCACTTTCTTTTTCTACAAGAGCTTTAAAATTTTGAAAAAACTTAAACACCTTCGATTTTTCTTTTAAAAAATACACCCATGTTTTTCTACTGAAATCATCAATAAACAAAAGAAAATATTTGTTCTTACTAAAAGAACATGGAGTGATTGGCCCACATACATCAGTGTGTATCAATTGTAGTTGCCTTGAAACTCTTGATGGAGATTCATTTGGAAAGACCTTTCTTGACTGCTTACCAAGAAGACACCCTTCACAAAGCTGATTAGGCTGATGTATTGGAGGCAAACCTTTCACCATTCCATTGCTAGCCATTGTTTTGAGCCCTCCAAAATTTATGTGCCCAAATCGTAAATGCCACAACCATGATGAGTCTTTATAACACGACGTCAAACACTTAGCCATATCAGTTTATATGGACAACACAAACAAACGATTTTTCACCATAGGTACTTTAGCAATCAAATTTCCTGCATCATCCTTTAAAAACACACTGCAACCTTTTGTGAACGAAACATAACTTTTTTCCAATAAATTAACCCACACTCAAAATATTACTCTTCATATCTGAAGCATAATAGACATTTGAAATAAATTGGTGATTTCCATCTTTCATATGTATTAAGATTTTACCTTTTCCCCTTACTGGAATTTTGGAGGAATCCCCAAATGTGATATTGCCACCAACCTTCTCATCAAGCTCTATGAACAAATCTTTGTTCCCACACATGTGATTACTAGCTCCACTATCAAGAAACCAAGAATGTTTGTCTCCTTGCTGCAAGTCCTTGCAAGCTATCAAGAGACTTTATCTCTTCATTATTTTCTATATTTTCTTCATGAGAAAGGTTAGCTTTCACACCATCACCACTTTTACATTCCCATGAATAATGTCCAAATTGATGACAAGTATAACATTTAACTTGTGACTTGTCATACCTCTTTTGATAAGGTCTTGCTCCTCCTTTGACACGTCCTCTTGTTGAGTTGGATTGATAATTTTCATCTCTACGTTGAAATGAAATATGGTTATCTCTTCCAAACCCTCGTCCATGCCCTTGTCCTTTCAAACTTGTATTTCCCTTTTCTTCCTTGTCTTTCAATGTGAGCTTTGATTGTAAAACATGCTCCAATTGCTCCTTCCTTCTTCTATTAAGCTTCTCTTCATATGCTTTCAATGATCCGCTTAATTCTTCAATTGTCATATTTTCCAAGTCCTTCGATTCTTCAATGGCAGTCACCACGTGATCCAATTTCTCACTAACCGATCTATGGATTTTCTCAATCACCCTTAAGTGAGTCACATCTTCATCAAGCCTCTTCATTTGGTTTGCAACGGTCACCACTCTTGAAATATAATCCGACATATTTTCGAATTCCTTCATTTGAATAGCTTCAAATTCACCTCATAGATTTTGGAGGCGAACTTTTTTTGCCTTCTCCTTTCCTTTGCAGGCAACTTGAAGCATATCCCATAATTGATTTGCTGTAGTAGCATTAGAAACCTTCTCAAAAGTGGCCTCATCCAATACTTGGTGAATAAGAGAAACAGCCTTTTGATCCTTCCTCTTAGTGCTTTGTAAAAGATCCCTTTGTGCTTGAGTGAGAGCAGCTAGATCGGTGGGAGCCTCATAACTATTGTCCACGATGTCCCATGCATCATGTGCATCAAGTAGAGCCTTCATGCAGATGCACCAATTATCAAATTTCTCTTTGGACAGTTTTGGAACTTGGAAGGGGACCATGTTGGTATTTGCCATTGTTTCTAGTATTGTGGCTCTGATACCACTTTGTAGGAAATAGAAGTAAACTTAAGAGGAGGAAATGATTTTCTATTTAATTGTGGACTTGTCTTCAACTCAAGATTACATAGGTATTTATAGGACTTCCTATTACATAAGTTCATCCCCTTAAATTAATTCTACTACATGCACCACACTTTACTAGGTACACATTAATTAACAATACATGCATACATGAACCACAATTAACTAGGTACATATTAAATAATAATGCATGTATTTCAAACTCCTAAATTCATGAAACTAAATTAAATAGGTTAAATGCATATTTATTTTTCTAACAAGAATGATTAAGTACGCATTTCAAAGGAAGTGGAATAGGCAATCTTTGGGCGTAAATGTTTCTCTAGAAACCGACACTATGGAGAGGGAAATAGGTAATAAACAAAATGATCCTCTGGTGCTGGAGCTGCAGAAGTCTAGCTTGATAACGGAGTCATCATGGGACAGTCGACGATTGACGCAAGTTGCTCATCAGGTCAGTGATGTAAACACTTAATGCTGTAAGGCCTATTTTTTCTGCTGTGTGCATGGGGTTGTGCATATGGAGTGGTTGGGTGATAATATTACATCGACTGTCCCCTAGCCTATTTTTAAATGTGCACTTTAATTTGTTTAAATACACTTTCATGCACAAAGGAAAACCGATTCTATTCTAAAACAATCCACAATCAAATGAACACAACTCAAGAAGGAAAGGAGAAGGTAGAGACTTTTGAACCTCGACCCTCCATTTTATCAACTTCAAAAAAAAGTTTTGAAAGTTAAAAAATGAAGGATATATAGTAGTTACTACATCCTTGCTAGGCCTACTACAGAAGAGAGAAGCTTTTATTGCTCCGTGTTGTTATTATTATTATTATTATTTGATTGGTGTTTTACAACATTATTTTGGCTATGTCGGTAGCTAGTTGTACTGTACATGTTCCACTGGCGTGTCTTTATGGTGGTGTGTCTGTGGACCATTGCTGAAATCCATAGCTTTGTTATTCCTTGATTTTCTGTATTTTTTTTTCTCTACTTTCTGTGTAGTAGGAGAAAAAGAAAAAAAGGTGCACATTCCTAATCAAATTAGTGTGATTTGATGGCGCAAAGACATTCCTTCTGTGAAAAAAATGGATCAGCTTGTTTGTGCACTTGCGTGGTCGAGTTATAATGTGGTGGCTCAATTGATACCTTTGGAATGATGTAAATTGATACTTTAAAATGATGTACATTTGTCTTAGTTTCACTTTATGATTTGTATTGGCAGCTCCTGTCTTTATCTGAGGAGAAGTGGCATTAAATGTCATTTTTCGCTTCATCCATACAAGAAATCTAGAGGTGGGGAAAGGTGAACAGTCAATTCTTCAGCTGTAGAGCAGCGAAGATGGTGTGTCATTCATGAAGCAGCCATTTGCTTTGTCAGGAAAAAATATGAGATCATATTAAAAAAAAAGTTGCTTATAATTTGTGCCCAAAATGTCACTTGTATCCTCAATATGTTATCTCACGGTACTATTACTTGTACTCAAAATCTGTTTTCTGCATAGAATGTCAATTTTATTTAAGAGTTAAATTTTGCATTTTTCGATTTTACTATTGATTTATTAGTTTATTTTGAGGCAGTGAAACTGAAATCCCTACACTATGTCTAGATGGAAATGGATATTTGCTCGAACTTTGATTAAAATCCAGCCATTCTCTGACTTGGCACATTTATGTAGTATTGAACACGACTCAATTGTATAGCAAGATTTTAGCTTCAATTTCTTTGTAAATGGTATTCACTATTATCTAATTCTTCATACTAACACGTTAAGATATTTTTCTTCAGGCGCAATTGGCGTACCGTATTGGAATGGGAATAAGATTAGGAAGAATACTATGAGCCTGTTTGGTATGGATTAAAATTTGATGTAATCTAAGTCAAAATCAAATAATCAATATTAACCACATTTTTCATGGACCCGAAAACTTTTCAACCACATATTTAAAAAACCTCTATCACAATCTATTAAAAAATCTAACTAATAATGGACACAAACACATGTTTTAGAATTTAACATTATTCTGCCCCTATTGCAATTCTTTAATTTTTAATTCTTTACTCGTAAATTTATACTAATTTAAACCTAAGAAAATATGTTTTC